CATCAAATTGATGGATTATCTTTTCCAGAGAAGGTTCATAATGAGAAGAACTCATCTGAAGAAGGAAGAAGAAGTTCAAAATGAGAAGAATTTGTTCAACCTTTTTTCTGAATTCATCAAATTGATGGATTATCTTTTCCAGAGAAGGTTCATAATGAGAAGAACTCATCTGAAGAAGGAAGAAGAAGTTCATAATGAGAAGAACTTGTTCAATCTTTTGCTTGAATTCATCATTTGATGGATCAACATTGCCAGGTAGAGTTCATAATGAGAAGAACTCGTCATCTGAAGAAGGAAGAAGAAGTTCATAATGAGAAGAACTTGTTCAATCTTTTGCTTGAATTCATCATTTGATGGATCATCATCCCCAGCAGAAAGTTCATAATGAGAAGAACTCATCTGAAGAAAGAGAAGAATTTATTCAATATCTCCATTATGATCAAGTGAAGCCAAATGGATAAAAAAATTTATTATCTTTTCATCTTTGCCCTATTCTTGTTAACACAAGAATGAGCAAAGAGGGGCAGCTGAAGATACTAATTTTTTACCCATATTAAATATTATTATTATTGTTATTATAATAATAATTATTATTATTATTATTATTATTATTATTATCATTATTATTATTATTATTAAATATATTAAATACATATATAAATAATAATAATTACAGGCCCAATTACAATTGGACCGGCCCAGTTATAAACAAACCAGAACCGGTCCAAATCAAACCAGAAACCCTAAACATTTAGGGGTTTCAGTTAGGGTTTCCTAACCCTAATCTAACCGGCCGCCTCAGACTGACCGTTGGATCTGGCAAGATCCAACGGTCCAGATTGCTCCAGATGAAAACCCTAGGGTCTGATACCCTAGGGACACGCAGCCGCTGCTGCTATCTCGCCGCCTCCGCCGCTGCCACGTCCCAACCGAAGGCTCCAGAAGCTCCAACGCCAGCCGTCCACGCCATGGCTACGGGGTGAGTCACCACTGGTAGTCCGGTGACTCACCGAGACCCCCTCTTCGGACCAGTCCGATGGCCACACCGGTGGTGGCTATAAAAACCACCACCCCAACCTGAAAAAAAAACAGAAACAGAGACAGACAGAAAAAAAAAACAGAGATAGACGAGGAAACAGGAAATCGAGAGAGATACAAAGAAACTAGATACTAAAAACTACCAACGATCTCAACAACCATTCAGCAAAGAAACAGAAAAGAAAGAAAAAGGAAGGAAAGAAACTTACCGAGGAAGCCTCGACCACCGGATCTCGTCAGAACCTTCGAAATACCGAAGGTATTTTTGTAGATTCGCTCCGATTAGGAGCTTTTTAAGGGAAAAGAACACCGGGACCGTCCCGATCTATCTATTAGTGTGAAAATAAATTTTTCCGGCCACCAAATGCGGTGGCCGGCGGTGACATTCACGACAGCACACGGTTGCCGTCCGGTGACCGGCTTCCCTCCGATGAGGGAAGCTAGAGAGAGGCGAGAGAGTTTTAAAACTCTCTCAGTTTAGAGAGAGAGAGTGAAATGAGAAATGAGATAGCTGGCCCTTCGGGCCAGCCGTTTTGGGCATAAATAGCCCTTCCCAAACGACACCGTTTTGGGGAGGGCTATTCGTGTAATTAAACAATAGTTAAACCCCGTCCGCAGTCCTCCGAACTTGTAAACTTTACATTTTAGTCACTAAATTGAATTTATATTATTTTTAATTCAGTCTTCGAATTTTAATTTCTTTTATTTTAATCCTTTATATTAAAATAATATATTTAGGATAAATAACATATTTAATCCCTTAATTTTAATAAATAATATTTTAATCCTTAGTTTATATTTTTAATTTATTTTATTCTAATATCCGAATTTTAGATAATTTTATTTTAGTCATTAAATAAATAAAATAAAGAAATAGCATGTTTAATCCCTATAATTTTGATTAATTATAAATTATATTTTTAAATTTTATTTTTACTATAATTTAGTCATTTATTTTATATGTTTTCATTTATTTTACTGCTTTTAAAATATATTATTTTAGTGGTATTTTATTTTATTTGTTTATATTTATGTATTCATAAATATATATATAATAAATAGTAATTTTTAAATATTTATTTTTAATATCGAAGAAAAGGACAGTCTTAATACAACTGGATGTCCTATTCTGATATTTTAAAATTAAAAATTAAACAATATTATTTAAATTAATATTTATCAATATCAAAGAAAAGAGCTGTCTTAAGGCACCTAGAAGTTCTTTTCTGATATTTTTAAATAAATAAATATTTTTTATATAATTTTGAAATAATAAGATTATAAATTAAATATATTTTTAAATTTTTAAAATTTTAATAATAGAGACAATTTATAATTAAAAAGTACCAATTTTGGGCGTCGTAGGGGTGCTAATCCTTCCCTAAACGTAACCGACCACGAATCCTTTTTATTATTAAAAAGAACGAATTTTTGGTTATAAACGCAGATCAGTTCATTTTTTATTAGTGTTTTCTTAAAACTCTTTTAAAAAATAATTTTTAGGTATTCGACCTACCTGACCCAAAAGGCCGATGGCGACTCTCAAATTATTTTAAAAAAAACATTTATTTACATCAATTTTCCAGCCAAATTTAAAATTTCGTGCCCGGACGAAAACCGGTTACGACAATCACCATATTTGTTTGTGCTTTGGATGGAATGACTGGCACATGCAATCCAAGCTGAAGTAGAAGTAGGACATGGGAAACCATTCAAAACGTCAAATTCGGGTCCCAGACTATCACATTACTTTTTGCAAATGATATGATTCTTTTTGTAGAGGCTTCACAGGAGCAGGGAGAAATAATTCGTTCAGTGTTGTCAAAGTTTTGTACTACTTCTGGCAACACAGAGTGTGGCGAAGACTACAATGTTCTTTTCAAAGAATGTTAATCCAGAGGTACGTGATCAACTAAGCACTGATTTTGGGTTTAGCGTGGTGGCACATATGGGAAAGTATATCGGAATTCCTTTGTTACATGATCGTATCACAACAACGTCATATCAACACTTGGTCCAGATGGTTCAAGATCGATTGAGTGGATGGAAGACGAGGCCTCTTTCAAGAACAGGTGGATTATGCTTGCGAAATTGATCTTAGCAGCTCTTCCCATTTACACAATGCCATCAGCGGTTATCCCAAGGCGAGTTTTAAAGGAGATCAAGAGGCTTGCGAGGAGGTTTATTTGGGGCATCATAGAAGGCAAATGTGGTTGTTTTTCGCCCAACAAAACATTGTGCCTTAGGGTTTAGGAACCTTGAACAACAGAATGAGGCGTTCAGAATGAAAATTGCATTCAATATATTGGCCAAGAAGGAACAACTATGGGAGAAATTTTCACGGGCTAAGTACAAATGCACGGAGGATGTACCTTATACGATTCAGACTTCTAACTGCTCTAATTTATGGAAGGGCTTAGCGTGTGTTTGGGCGAATGTTCGACAGCATATAAATTGGTGAATATATTAAAACAAGGTTGGGTGGTGAAGACTCAGTATGTATCTCGCAATGGAAATAGAGCGGGGGATTGTATGCTAAAACTAACGGATATGAGCAACTATGACTGCATTAAGTTTACAACCCTCCTGAGATGCTGCGACCGTTGCTGCATGAAGATCAACTTAGTAGTATTGCTATTTAGTTTTTATATTCATTCTTTACCAAAAGAAATAATTTCTACTGTTATTTGTTATTTAAATATTGTTTTAAAATCAAACGTAATTTTTTACAATTTGATTACCGTTCTACCATTCCAATGTCATCAATAAATCATTTCAGTGCTTTGAGTTATATATATATATATATATATATATATATATATATCCACTTATACTATGTAAAATTAATAAGTTGTACACCAATTTTAACCATTAGATTTAAATAAATAGATGTTTAGAGTGGAGGATTTTAGATTTAGGGTTTATAATAGGGATTTTAGGGTTTGTGATTTTATGTTTAGAGTTTAAGGTTTAGGATTGAGGTAAAAAGAAATATTGTTTTACTGTGAGTTAAAAGATATTTATTTTGTGTTATTATTTTAATTAAATTTAAGTGGTTTTTTATTTAAATATAATGACTATAAATTAGTGTAAAACTTATTAAGTGCAACTGGATCCTACACTTATTTACATACATACGTACGTACGTATGTATGTATGTATGTATGTATGTATGTATGTATGTATGTATGTATGTATGTATGTATGTATGTATGTATGTATGTATGTATGTATGTATGTATGTATGTATGTATGTATGTATGTATGTATGTATGTATGTATGTATGTATGTATGTATGTATGTATGTATGTATGTATGTATGTATGTATGTATGTATGTATGTATGTATGTATGTATGTATGTATGTATACATATATAAAGGGTAAACTACACTAGATTCCACCGAACTTTAGGCGTTGTATTGTTTATATCACTAAACTTTTAATTTTATCAATTATAACACTAAACTTTGAATTTCGTTTCAATTATACCACTAGGCCATTAAATTGTTAACAACTAAATCAAAACGACGTCACTTTAGTGAGGTATCTAGATCGACAGTCATTAGCCACATTCGTAGCCGTCAGCCACATCGACATGTCGTTAATGATTTAACAGTTCAATGGTATAATTGAGACAAAAATCAAAATTTGTGTTATAAATAACAAAATTAAAAGTTCGGTAATATTTCCTCACTAAAATAAAAAAGAAATAATACTAACAACATCAAATAAAAAACGAGGAAGATACCAGAAATTAAGATTTATTGGGATTTACGGTTTTAGATCAAGATTGGGACACTCACGATTTTTTATTGAAGGTTGAACTTTTGAAACTTCAAAACTTTAGGAGTAAATTTACTATGAATTTTAAAAAAAGTAAAAGTTTATTATCGATAGAACATATAAAAAAATAAAAATATATAATTTAAAATTTTCTAAAGAACCTCTACGCCGGTCATCCTCTTAGTCCTTTCCTGATTCGAGCTTCAGACACTAACGCTGCATCTAGTAACAAACTGATTGCTACTTTTGCTTCCCAAAGCAATATATGCTGGACATCTAACGTAAAGATGGTATCTTCCAGAAACGAAAGCTCCAACTTTCCATCTCACCCGTCCATCAATCTTTATCGTTAGGAAAACCGACCCTGCTGCCTGTTCGGACCCCAAAGCCACGGAGAAGTCCGGCGAGATAGGGACCATGTTCCCGTTAATGAAAGGCGACCAAACGTCTACCTCCTTGTGACCCTGGTAAGTAGGAGGGATTGAAGTGCGGGGTGTGATTTGTTGGTCCCTGTACGTGGCGTAGATGTTGAGCCTGTCGTAGTATATTCCGGTTCTATCGTTCGGGTTCCGAGACGACACGGTCACTTGGAAACTGGAGGTAAGGATGTTGGGGACGGAGGCGTTGAAACCGTAGGCGGTGGCGTTCTGGAGGATGAATCTGGGCTTGCTGGGACGAAGGATAGCCCAAATGATAAGGATTGTGATGAGAACAATAAGGAGGAAGATGAGAATGCCGGCTATGATTCTTCGGAATAATTTCCGGCGGCTTTTGCTATTGTGGCTGCAATCCTTTGCCGACATGGTAGGTTGAAACTTGAAAATGTGAGCGAAATTGAAGTTGGGTTAAACAGGGTGATGGTGGTGGCTCTTTGCTTTGGTTTGTGTAATGAAATGAAAGTCTTGGCTCTCTCTTCGTTACTCTCTATATAGGAATCCATGTTAATATGAAATAAGAGTTTATTACTATATTGCATGGCGGGGAAAAATCATAAATATATAAATAAATATATATGATTTTATATTTAACTGACATTAGAGTCGATGGTAGATGCAAGTGTTATTTAAAGTGTGTATGTGTTTATCTTGAAATCTAATTTTTTTTAACATGTGAAATCCAATCTTTTTATGTTAGTTGTTTGTTTTATTTATTGAATCCACTCAAAAATTTTATTTATGTTCAATCTATACAAAAATATTATGTTATTAATATATGTGTTTATCTTTAAAATTATTTCTGAATCTCGTATATATTAGAATAACTTGTTGAAATGAATAATGAAATCAAGACAAGAAGTTAAGCGAAGCTCTACTCTATGTCAATCAAACTTAGAATTCTGAAAAGGTAGGAGAGAGAAAAAGATCAATAAAACCAATTAAAATAATAAAAAGGATTTCATGTGTAAAAGTTCAATAACTTGGTTTATAAAATAACATGTGTATATTAAAATTAAAATTTGATTGAAAAGATTAATGACTTTAGTTAAAGATTATTGAGTCAAAATAAAAAGACTGTGAACCGAAGAAATATTTGTATTGTGTAGCAAGAGAAGATGCAGCAGCACATGGTTTGATTGGGAAATGGAGAAATTTGAAGCAGCACGTTACCAATGGATTCCTGGGACCCTACTTATCATGACAGACAAGGGAAGCTTCCAACTTGGCCTGCCCTCTTTTTGTAGGTTTTAACGAGCCACAATTGAATATACACCCTTTTCCTCTCCCTTCCAAACCCTAACGTCATGCTCCTGCCCTTTGGATTCCAGGAAGGAATCAATGATAAACCCTCCCACTTTTGCCAACTTGCTTTAATATTTTTTCTTATTTCTCTGAATTAATGGCTTAAAAGTGATTTTACATTTTGTATATATGAATATCCTATATACTTTTCTTATATAAGTTTTGGGAGTAGTTCGTATACCACTAACAAGCCTCAAATTCCTACAATATAGCCTCCTAGGAGTATCATTTCTTAATTAAAATTTTAAATAGGTATTACTATTTTTTACTTGAGCTTTTACTATCTTTCTAACTTAAGTTTAGACTTGTAGTAATTCTTTATATTATGACAAATTACTCTAAAACTCATCTATTAACTAATTTTCATATTTTAATGGTCTTAGTGGTCAGAAAAAGTGATGTGTTTTCTTGAGGTCCTGAGTTCGAACAAGTATGTCACGTTGTCAATAGTTAAAAGAAATTATAAATAGATACTATTTTATAATCACCCCACAATATTAAAAAAATTAGTTTTCTTCCTTACATTGTTACTTGTGTACCAAATACAATTTCAATTTTTTACATAATATAACGATGCAGCGTCAGGATAATGTAAGAAAATTGGATTTCATTATGAAATCATCACCTAACCTTATTAACAAATATATGAAAATATTTTTTTTTGCTTCATTGAAAGGGAGAGGAAAGTGAAATGAGCTCATGTCTGACTCACATTATCACCACATTAACCAGAATAATCAAAACCACCTAACCCTTAGTTTTAATTTTAGATTTATATCAGACAAAACAAAATTTCCTTCGTCTTCATAATCTTGATGATGTTTATCATGAAAGAGTTCTTTAATCTCTTTCTCAAGCTATATTGTTGTTTGTTAATTGACATTCCACCGTCAGAAGCTTAATTTAATTAATAGTGCCACAAATGGCATTAACTATTGGCATTCACTAATAATTGAGTCTGGATAACAATTTGACATTTAATATATTTTTATTAATTTAAAGAGGAATATTATATCGATTCTTTTTATATATGTATAATTTAAACCAATATAACTAACACTATTAACATTTACAAATAATAATAAGAAAAATTACCCTACAAAATTAGGGCAGTCGACCAAGAATTATTCTATGAATGGAAGTCGTCAAATTTGTCACTGGACTGTGACGTGGCCTAATGTAATGCAAGATTTTTTTTATATTTAAGTGTAAGGGTGAGCGTTTTATCGAGTCGAGTAAACAAATTTAAGTTACTTGAGTTGACGAGTTTTATTTTATAACACGAAGTTGGCTTGAAATTTTCTGAGTCGAATCGAATTTATAAAATTTGAGTCGAGTCAAGTTAAGTTGAGTTTTTATTTAAATTTAATTATAAATATTTCTAATATTACAATATTAATTGATTCTAATTTGAATAATTTTTTTATAACCATACACAATACAAATGTATTTCTTCATATGTGATATACATATATCATACAGAGTCGAGGGATTCGACTCAAACTTGAAAATCAAACCACTAATTACTAAAAATTTCGAGTTATTCAAGTTGTATTTTATAACTCGATTTGAACTTGAAATTTTTTCAAGTCGAATTTATGAAATCATAACTAGAAGTCAAATCGAGTCTAATTTTTCCCCGGAAAAGTCGATTTTTCAAATCGAGTCAAGTTTTTACTACCCTAATTAACTAACCATAGAGCGAAACTTTTCTGAATTGATAGAAAGTATAATAGAAATAGTTAAGCATAATATATAATTTGTATTTGGAAATATGAATTTTATAATTTAGATTTAAATTGTCTATTATCTTTAGTTCAGTCTAAATAATAAACTTTTCCATTCAATTTAAACAAGCAGTGATGGTGCCAAACTTCTTTTCTTTATTTAGCAGTAAACTATCAATTATGCATATCTATATATATTGCAAAGTATACATTAAATTAATAAATGGATATGTAAAAGCAACTGAAGATTGAATGACAGATGTATGCATTATTGTGCATGCTGGAGATGAAAGGAAGGAATCATTTGTTATAATTTGAATTTATATTTATTGATTTTGAAATATATCAAAATCAATTTACATAAATTAATTAAATTAAATCTCAAAATTAATGAAGAGCAAGATAAGCACATAAAAAATCCTTGGCGAAATAGAAAAATGAGTAGTAGAAGGCAAGGATATACCCTTTGGAGCAAGTTGTCGGTGGGGATATTGGATCCACAAAGTGCCCACCACAAATCGTCTTTGAACCTCTAAAACTTCTAATTCTGTCCTTTGATTTCTTTAGTATATTCTTTTTCACAACTTTTTTTATTAGTTTACATTTTTATGTCACATTCTTTTACTACTTTATTTTAATCTTCATTAAAATTTTATCATATCCATTTTTTGGTTGAATATTTTTTATATCGAAAAATGTTTAATTGAAATTTTAGATAAATACTTATTTTTAATGAAAGATATTCGTTAGTATAGATGTTTATTACCCTCTGTGCTACTAAATTGTGACTTATTAGTTTTTTTCGATGAAATCTTTTTAATTTAGAATTTTTATTATTTAAATATATAAATGATAAAAATGTATTCTAAAAGAATTCAATCAATTAATTACTCAATAAATATTTCTAAAAATTTAATTATTTAAAATAATTATATTTAAAAATTAAAAATTTGACAATAAAAATGTTAACAAATAATAAATTTTGTGAGATAGAGGGGTAGTAGATAAAAATATTACTATACACGGGTCAATGAATACATGTTCCAATAGTTAAGTAACGCTAGTATCTCTAGCTACAGATGAGCATGTGATGGAGTTGAGTAAAAAAATTGAATTAATCAAATTTCTGAGTATCGTTTAGTCATTCAAAATTTATTTGAACTTCGAGAAAAAAAGTATGCAATTCCAGTTAAATGAAATACATTCACTTGAACTTCTATTCAAATTCAAATTTAATTATTTATAATGTTAAGATTGATTTGTTCAAATTAAAATGCCTCTTTATAGAGTGTGATGAAAGCCTTCCATCTCTTCCTTCCAAACAAATTCGAAAGAAAGAATGCCCAAAATACTTCATCTTCTTTAAGCTCTCATAAAGCTATTGATGTACGCTTAAAGAACAGTAGAGAAAACTAAAATACCTTCAAATTTTATTAGTGCATGTAATAACCCAGTTCGAATTTCAAAAGCTTTCATCGCAATCTTCTGTTTAGTGAGTTAAATTGTACGTTTTAAGCTTGGTAAGGAAATCCCTAAATCCTAATCTAAATCTAGGGTTCTTGTATGATTAGATCCGATTTTGATTTTTAGATGCTTGAATGTTCTATTGATATGTCTATATGAATTTTCTTAAGATCAAGAAGTGGTGGAGGCATCCAAGAGAATGAAAAGGTAGCTTAGGAACACTAGGGAAAGTGTTCCAAAGCTTGGATTTTGAGTGGGTGCAGTCACTATATTTGTGTATTTGCGTATATAAGTGTTTATGACTTGTAAATGCAGGTAAAATATATATTATGTGCTATCCAAAGCGACATGTAATCGAAGCATTCAAAAATAGTTCATGCTCAAAATAAACTGTTGTGTACCTGTGAGAGAATTAAATAGCAGAGAATGGAGTAGAGAATTTAGAAGCATACATAGAAGAGAAAGTAGTTTTCATTCAAAAAGTTTTCAGATCCCCTCTCAATACAACGCCAGCTCTTATTTATGCTAAATTCTTTCTAGTAAAGGACAAAATCAGTTAGTCTTTTTGGTGCCATCTTCTTCCTCATTCCTCGGCGCTCCCTTTGAGTAGTTACTTCTGACTCACCATCTCTTGCCTCGTCAGTTACCTGGTTGGTTAAGTCTCCATTCCCAACATCACCTCTCCTAATGGAGGAACCTTGTCCTCAAGGTTCGGAAATCCTTCCCCTTGATGGTCATCACCATCCTCGAGTAACAAGAGTAAAGGAGTGATTTTCTGTTGTGGCTACCCCTTGCACAGTTTCAACTGGTAAACATGAAAAACCGGATGTATGCGAGATGGTGCAGGAAGTTCGAGGTTGTAGGTAACCGGACCAATGCGTTTGAGAATACGATAGGGTCCAAAGTATCTAGGACTTAACTTCTGTTGTCTTCTTAATCGTAGGGACAA